GAGCAGAACATAATGTAACAGTTTAAAATTAAAATAATCTGATAAAGTCCATGTAATCACTATTTATTTAACTGGTTAGAAGATATTAGCTTGTGGAGCATTTATAAAGAGTTTAGCTCTGTTGAATCATGTTACAATTTAACACAAACTATTAAATATTACTTTGTCCTCTGAGACCTACAGAGTGTAAAATAATATTATAAATGTCTGATTAATATTTAGACCTACAGAGTGTAAAATAATAATATAAGTGTGAGTATTTTTAGGTTTTTGTTAGAGGAACCTGACCTGTTAAGAAGATGTTAGCTAATAGAGACAAGTTTCATCCTATAACCAGAGAACATTTTCTAACTGTTGACTGGTAAATATAAATATTATTTTTTTTTATGACAGTAAGAAGAAATATTAAATGTACTTTATTACAGCTGAAGTCATCATTTTTCAACTAGCTAAAGTCTAAGTTACAGGCTGACTTCAGGTCTGGTTTAGATCATTGTTACTTATAAATTATTTATTTTTCTGGTATAAATCTGCTGTTTTACATGATTGTTGAATGAAATTAACATAATTATTAATTTATTGTTAAAACATGACAGATAATCTGTGAAAAAGATCCAGTTCAGCTGCTGTTTATCTATTAGTTTCTATGGAGGCTGTGAGCTGTTGGCCTTTTTGGACACCATTTATGCTCCTCCATGCTGTCACAGACGACACCAGTGGACGGTATGGGCGGGGCTCAGTCTAGTCATCTATATTCAAGTCTATGGTGGTCACTCATAACATGATGATTAGATTTTTTATATTTTTTTTAAGCTAAAAAATATGATTTTATTATACTCGAGAAAGCATTATACATGAATAAGCAGTAAGTAGTTTCTTGATTGAGAACAGGTGTGGCAATAATCAGGCTTGGGTAATTAATCTCAGCTTTCCAAAGATGTTAAACCACAGGGCGGCATTACTTTTTCACTTTTTGGGTGTAGATTTAGCTTTCCCTCAATAATAAATCCCTTCATCTATGAACTGCATTTTGTGTTTACCGGTACTTGTGTTATCTTTGTGTGATATTTAAATTTGTTTGGTGATCTGAAACATTTAAGTGTGACAAACTTGTAAAAGAATCAGAAACTAGAAAAGGGGCAAACACATTTTCACACCACTGGATAAATTGTATTCTTGCCCTATTCTTCTACTTGAGTGAACTCGGGTCCTCTACCAGAGGTCAGGGAGTGTGAGTGTGTTCTATTCAGTATCTTAGCTGTCTTAGCTGTTTCTAGGACTGCACTCTTCTGAACAGATATCTTTGAGGTTGTTCCTGGGATTTCCAGTTTGGGTGTCACAGCACCGAGAGCTCCAATGACCACAGACACCACCAAGGCCTTGACTTTCCACAAATACTGTGTTTCATCTTTCAGTCCTTGGTATTTCCTGAGCTTCTTGTGTCTCTTCTTTATGATGTGACAATCACTTGGGATCTCCAGATCCATTACCCTTTCTTGCTGGTTGATTACCACTATGTTTGATTAGTTAGCCATCACCTGTTTGTCGGTTTGGATCTGGAAGTACCACAGTGTCTTAGCCCTTCTATTCTCCAACACCCTTGGTGGTGTCTCGCACTTTGACTTTGTGGGACCTCCAGTCCATACTTGTTGTCACAGAATTTCCTATATTATTTCAGCCATTTGGTTATGGTGCATGTATGCCTTGTCTGCCTGGATCTTACACCCTGCTATGTTTTGGGCTACGTTCACACTGCAGGCAAATCTGACCCAAATCCGATTTTTTTGACCCATCTGACTCACATCCGATTTTTTTATGACAGTCTGAACGAGACAAATCCGATTTTTTTGACCCATCTGACTCACAT